CTGGACTGAGGGGGTGGAGCTGAGCCCTGCGGGCCACCGTATCTGAGTTCTGATTGGTTGGCGCCTAGGGTGGGAGGACAGGGCAGGAGCTCCAGGGTGGTTCCCAGGAGAGAGCCTGCTTCTCCATCCCTTCCTCCCCCTCCCCAGCTCCTTGGATCCCAGGCGCTCCCCCCTGCAGCTGCCTGGGTGGGGCAGAGCCCTGCTCTGCCTGTGTCCCCCCACCCGAGGCATCCTCCTGCCCTGCTCTTGCTCAGCAGGTCAGTTCTTCCCTTGGGGCTGCGGCTGAGCTCAGTGGGGATGGGACCCAGCTCATGGATCTGCAGTCCCCCGTGGGGCAGGAAGCTGGTGCTGTCACCAGCTGGAGGGATACCCTGGGGGAGCTACCAGCTGCCGCAATGGGGAATGTGTGTCTGGTGCTCGGTGCTGAGTGCCGGCAGCCCCGGCACATCCTTGGCTGCGTTGCACTGCAGGTGGCCAGAAAACCGAGGAGCAGTCTGTGGGATGGGGCTTAACAGAGCCTGGTACGTGCAGTGCTATGGGCTTGGGGAGCATGGGGGCCCAGTACCCATGGGGCTGAGACGGTAGAGAGGGGAACTCCTGCTACAGCTGGGGAGGGGGCTGCGGGCTGGGGGGGGGAGCCTAGTGGTCTGATTGCAGGACGGGGAGCCTGGCCCTGCTGCGTCCAACACCTGGCTTGGCTGCTGCCTCCAGCAGGGGCCTGGGGCTCTCTGTGGGATGTTTCTGTAGCTGTGAAGCAGGTTAACCCTGCCCTGCCCCCTGGAGACTGGAAAGCCTGGAGAGTGTAGCCCAGTGCTTGGTGGGGGGCGTTGCCCAGGCCCTCCAGTGTGAGGAGAGGGAGTCCGTGCCGGCATTGCTATTAGGGTGGCCACAGCCCCACTGTGCGAGGTGCTGTACAGAGACAGGTGCCAGGCCCTGGTTCCCCTCTACCGGCAAGGCCTGTGCCATGAAGGGCAGGGCAGGGGCCGCGTCTGTTACAGCGTGTCCCCGTAAGGCGGGCCCTCGTTCAAATGAAATCCTGCCCATGGCCAACAGGCATTTCCCTGCAGTGAATAAGGGCAGCCTAGATCCTAGAGGGGATGAGCCTCAGCCCACCCCTTGTGTCCTGGCTGGCATTCAATGCCCACCGCCCTTGTGCTTCTCCAGCTCTGCTTGCAGGTGCAGGTCCTGCCCAGGGAGGGGGGCTTGGGCCAGAGCCACCATCCGTGGGCAGGGGCTCGCTGGGGGGATCCCCTGGGGGGATCCCCTGCTCAGCTGGCTTGGGCTGTGACAGCGTGCAGAACCGGCTGTGGGCAGGAGGGGTGTGTGTGTTAATTTACTGGTTGCTGTAGCTCAGTCAGGCACCATTAACCAGCTCCTGCCCTCACTTGGTCACAGAAGGGGGGCTGGGGCAGCGGGCGAAAGCAGAAGCTGACCACCAGCCCCCCTGCGTTAGCACTGGGCTCCGTCTCCCTGCCTCAGAACGAGAAGGGTGTATTCGGATCTGCCCTCAGCCCTGCCCCAGAGAGCCCTGTACGCCCACATCACGTGCCCTATTTATTGCTATGCTGTATATACTTATTTATTATGGTGGATGAGCTGCGGGCAGCCTGTAGCCCGTGGCCAGTGCTGCCTCAACTGCAGCAAATGCCGGCAGCTCCCTGCTGCTCTGGGGCACCAGGAGCCTGGTTCCAGGGCAGCCCAGAGCAGAGCCCCGGCATGAGCAGGGGGGCAGCTGAACCCTCTGGCTGCTGGCACAATAAAGGAGTGTACGTAGGGCAGGATATGCACACAGAGGCTGGGAACTGGCTCTTGGAACCCTCTGCCCCCACTCACCCCCCAAGTAAGTGGTTGGCTTTGTTGGAGGAGGGAGGCTGCACCATTGCCACCTGCTTGGGGGCCAGCCATTGAGATTTCCTGACCCCACAGGCAGGCCCCCTCCATGCAGACACCAGACGGGCTGTGAAGCCCTCTCCAGGGAAGATGACACCGGGAGCATGGCTGCAGGTCCAACAGCCAGCATGTGCAGTGGGACCAAGCAGGGCTTTTCCATCGCTGCTGTTGGGGCAGTTTCCCGCATGGGACCCGTGGTGCTGGGAGCCCAGCTCTGGCCTGATCATGTCATTGAGGAAATGAGCCTATGGCACAAGCTGAGGTCTGTATTGTCGTCGTCCGTGTTCCCATCCCCCCCCCGCGCGCACCTCGAGCCCTTGAAAAAGCACCAGCCCCAGGGAGCCTGAACCTACCTCAGGCATGAATATAGGAGTCTCCAGCACCCGAGCTGGTTTCCCTGGGCATGGGAGAAGGCACCTGCCCAGGCCACGGAGCCAAGTGCAGGGGAACAGGCACCACTTCCATCCTCAATACCAGTGTTGGGGTGGCAGAGGGGTTCCCCAGGGCCGTCTCCTGACTTGCTCGCCAGCCTAGCGTCTGCTCTGGTGAAAGCCTGGCCTGTGGTGACCACAGTGTGTGAACACCTTGCGCTGGAGGAAGGGAATGGGAAGCTGTGGGGGGGGGGAACCAGGCTTGGCAAGCCATGTGGCCAGTCCTTGTGAGGCCATTGGCCAGTAGCTGGGGGAAGCCCTAGAGGTGAGGAGCCCAAAGGGTTTATTTCAATCTGTATGTTTCACTGACAGCAGGACGTGCTGCTCGAGTGCCTGTTCATGTGTGATGTAATTCTGTGCCTGCAGAAACCCACTGGATGGCCCAGACCTTATGAGCCCCAAGGCTGAGTCCTGCTGAGAACTAATCTCTCGCCTGCCTCAGCAGTGGGGCAGGTGAGCTGAGGGCCCAGACAAGGCTGTGGCTCTGGTGGGACCTGCAGTATGGGAGTGGGCTGGCCCCTGAAAGTCCAGCCACTGCTGCAAGCAGCTTGTGGGGTGGGGGGTGGGGGTGTCCTGCCCCTGGGGCGTGTGCTCACTTGCTGATGCCCTGGCTGTGTCTGTCCTGCCTCGGGTGGCCTTAGCCCTGCTGTACGCTTTGTACTGTACAGTGGAAGCTTTTTTGTACCAGATTGTGTTTTATAACCTGTACAAAGACACATTAAACCGAACTAACCAAAACCCTGTGGCTCTGCCTGCTCCCTGCGGCCAGCTGGCAGCGCCGGCTTCTGCACTGTGCCGGGGCACACGCAGCACCATGCTGCCTGGGGCCTGGTAGGGAGCCGCTCTCTGCTGGTGAAACGTAGCTACAGCTTTGCCCGTGCGCAAAGCATGGCCAGAGGCTGGCTCTGAGGCACCAGCCCACGCCATGGGCAGCCCAACACGCAGGGAATCGCCACTGCAATGGGTCCCATGAGTTCCTGCATTGCACTAGCTCAGTGCCACCACCCTGCCAACACGGCAGAGAGACTGGGGTAGGACCCGGGGGTGCTGGATGAGTGCCTGGCCTTGTGCCCTGTGCTGCTGCATGGCCCCCCCCACCGCCCCTGCTGTGATGGCACCTCCCAGGTGACCAGACAACGGCCCCATCACTACAGATTAACAGAGTCCCTTTTGACATAGGCTTTTACTCAAAAGAACAGTCATCCTGGGGCAGCCCAAGGGGCCAGCTACTTCTGGCAGGCAGAGCCTTAGAACACCCAGACCCTGGGCTTGTATCCCTGATCACTGTGGTTCATAGCCGTCAATGGACCTAGCTTCCATGGCCTGCTCATTCTTTCTTAAGCATTAGTGTTGTTTTGGCCTTCACACCATCCCCTGGCAAGGAGTTCCACAGGTTCCCTGCCTGTTGCATGAAGTTCTTCCTTTTGTTTGTTTTAAACCTGCTGCCTATTAATTTAATTGGGGGACCCCCCTGCTGCTTGATTTACGTGAAGGGGTAAATAACACGTCCCTAACCACTTTCTCCACACCCATCATGACTTTATAGACCTCTGTCATGTCTCTCCTTAGGGGGCACGTCTATAAGCTGACCGAGCCCAGGTTTTGTAATCGCACCTGCTAAGGGAGCTGGTCCATGCCCCTAGTCAGCTTTGTTGCGCTGGCCCCTTTTGAATGCTACGGGATCTGAGCTGTGGCAACCAGCGCGGCACCCAGTATTCAAGGGGCGGGCGTACCACGGAGTTATAGTGGGGTAGTATATTGTCTGGCTTTATTAGCTCTTTCCACATTGTTCTCCAAGAACGATCCCTGCTGACACCACCGGCCTTTTCTGGAGCGGTAACGGCTGATTTAGAGCCCATCTGTTCCAGCCATCGTTGGGACTGTTTGCCGATGTGCACTACTTTGCCTCTAGCAGCGTGGAATTTCAGCTGCCATTTTGTCACCCAAGCCCATGCCAGCTCTTTGTACCGCTCCCGCCAGCTTTGGACTTTAGCTTGAATAATCTTGTATCCACTGCAAATTTTGCCACCTCACTGGGCGCCCCCCTTTTCCAGTTCTTGTTGAATACGCTGACGAGCCCCTGCTATTTACCACACACCTGCTAGCCCTGCAGAAAACACAGTCACGCCGGCGTGAGCCGGAGGGCTCTGGTGCACCCCAACCAGATGCTTTACCTAGTTCCCACCACGTCTAGCTGGGCAAGTGGGGCTGGATGGGGGCTAAGTACCTCGCGTGAACCATGAGCAGGAAATAAAGGCGCTGGGATTCCAATCCCCAGAGGCTCTCCCCTCAGCACAGCAGCTCTGGGAGACCCAAGACCCAGCTGCAGGACTGCACTGCACATGGACTAGACCCATTGCTTCAGTCCGTCTGCAGCTGGGCTCTGGGGAGCGGGTGATTTAGCACTTCCGAAAGCCTGCCAGCCCCCCAGCAGGCTGCTCCCAGAACAAGCCCAGCACACGCTGTGGCAGCTTCCCTGCCAGGTCCCTGGGGGAAGGCCCGGGAAAGGTGAGCTCAGACTCCAGCCCCATTGGGCTAGAAAAGCCCACGCAGGCAGTCCAACAGGACAGGGGGGAGGGGTTCCATGCCACAGCCATTTCCCAGCTTGGCCATGGCACAGGATTCCCCCACCCCCCATCTCCAGCAGGGTTTAAGTCAGGTCCACAACGCCCCTGCGGCCCAGAGCAAATCATCCATTTATTGGAGTAGCAAAGAGCTGAAAAAGTCAGTTCTAATTACAGAGTCAGATCAGAACATGGAGACGGACAATGTTACATTTGTACAAAAGCAGAGGAACCGAGCGCGCCAGCGGGGGCCGTGCGCCGTGGCCATTTCTGCCCAGGCCGCCGGAGGCAGACGCAGCAGCACCCAGCCAGGGCCCAGCGCTGAAGCCCGGGGGGGGCTGTACAGTATGAGATGCAGGCCAGACCCAGGGGGAAACTAGTTACCGAAGCAATCGAGGTCCCAGCCCAACCCCCGCAGCAATGGGTGCTCCCAGGGCTTGCTAAGGATATGGCTGACCAGGTCTGCTTCTGTCAGCCCCACAGCTTAACACAGAACAAGCCCTTCTCCCCAGGCAGCAGCGGGCCACCCACTCCTAGGCCCAGGAGAGGCCAACCCAGCGGCTGGGATGTTGCCTGCCCCCCCGAGACAGTCGCTGGCTCTGTAGGACAGCCCCAGGGGGTGGACACCGACTCCACTTCCATGCGCGGCCTGCGCCCCTCCGCGCCCAGCGGCTGGAGAGCTCGGGGCAAGGTGCAGAGAATCAAAGCGACTACAGACACAAGGAACGACCCATCACCGCTCTACTGTCGTGCGCCGCGTACTCCCTCCTCCCCCTGGGACAGGGGCCTTGGGGCTTTTCACCCTCCCCGGCCCTGCTGCCAGCAAATCAAGCCCCCTGGAACACGGGGCCCTGCTGAGTAAGCCTGCCTCAGCCGCCCACCCCAAGCCCAGGGCTTGTGCAACCCCTGGCTGGGGTTACCCGGCTCTAGGTGCCCTCGGCCTGCAGGTTACCCCGGGCTGAGAGCGCAAGGCCCAGCCCCTGCTCTCGCTGTACCAACCCCCTGCCCCTCACAGCTGTCCGACCAGGCCAGGCGACAGGCCCCAGCTCGGCTCAGGCCGAGGGGGCACCCGAGGCACCCAGTCCCAGGAGAAGCACTGAGGGAGGGGTCACCGCATGGTTCGGGCAGGGCTGGCCGCGGTGCCCGGGGCCAGCTGGGCACACGCAGTGCCGTAAGCACATCCGCCAGCAGCTGCCCCCAGCCGTGCGGTGCTGGGCAGGGGCATTAAGGCTTTAGGCTGGTCCAGGGGGTTTCAAGGCCCCCCAGACACTAAAACCCTCATGTAAACTGCTGCCACATGTGGGGGGGGGGGGGAAGAACGACTGAGGCCAAGGGGGGCTGGAATTGCTCACTCTTCCCCAGCGCCAGAGCAAGAAGGGAGGGGGGCAATTGGGCCCCGTGAGGGGCAGGGAGCCACGCTGCAGCCAGCGAGCCAGGTGTGTCTCCAGGCAGGCGCCTGGGACAGATTTAGGGCTTCACCACGGCCACCCCTCAGCACTTGCCCTCCCTGCCAAAGGCTGCCCCAGGACCCGCGGGGGTGGGGGCTTCCCGGGGGGCTCTCAGCCAGCAGCCCTCCATGGGGTCTCCTGCAGGAGCTTCCAAGGGCTGCGAGCTGAGGGGTCCTGCCTGGAGAGCGGCCAGCGTTCTCCACGCCGCAGGGGCGGAGGCTCCTTCCCCTGGGGGCTGTGAACGGAAGAGCCGGGGGTATTGCAGGGCCCCCCCAAACCCCCAGGCAGGAGCAGCAGCAGGGGGGCCTTCTCTCTCTGCTGGACCAAGGCCAGGTCTCTGCCAGGAGGTGCTTGGGGACAAGCAGCAGCCCTGGCTTAGCCCGCAGAACAGCTGGGCTGGAGGGGCTGTAGCGGAAGGGAAGGGAAGGCTGGCTCTCCATGCTGCGGGGGTCACCCTGGGCTAGCTGCCGGGGGGCCCAGGCACTGAGTGTGGCGCAGGCTTGTAGTGCTGTGTGCGCATTTCGCAGCCCTCCCAGAAGCCCAGGACTGAGTGGGGACAAGGGCTGTGGTCCAACACCCCAGATTCCAGCCACCACACTGCGGGGGCTCCCCCCCAGTCCTCTTGGGGCAACAGAAGGGGCATGCTGGCATGGCCAGGGAGGGGCTGTGCGTGCCATGTCCCCAGAGCCAGGCCAGGCCCGGCCCCCTGGCTCAGGTTTTATTGAGTGTCCACAGTGGGTCCAGCATGCTGAGGGGGTCGTCGCTAGGCCGGGGCCCCCGCAGCCCCTCCCCATTCTGGGGCTGCAGGAAGCTCTGCTTGCTCATCCGTGGCTTGCCCTTCAGGGAGCTGTCCAAGGAGAAGGCCTCAGGGGTCAGCGACGCCAGGAGCTCCAGCGAGGAAGAGGAAGGAGCCAGGCTTGTGGCTGAAGGCTCCCTGCTGGGTCTCTCCTCTACATGGTTGCTGCTTTCGGCTTCAGGGAGTGGCACAGGCATGGTGGGGGCGGAGTGGGCAGGGGGCAGCTCAGCACTGGTTGGGGGTACGGGCTCCGTCAGGCTGGGCTGGGCGACACTGTCGGGTGCTGCAGGAACCGCCCCTGGGCTCGCAGCTTCGGGCGCTGCTGCCGGCTCGGGCAGCTGCCAGTTTGGGGGAGGCTCCGGGCTGCCACCAGGGGGCTTGATGCTCAGCTTGGCGATAGTGGCCTGGATGGAGCTGATGGGCATGTCCCCGCCCAGCACCAGGTCCTGCGGGTCCTGATGCAGGTACAGCTGGAAGAGAAGTGAGAAGGTGGGCCCAGGCACTTCCTTCAGACAGGCCCAGCCCGCCGCCCGCCGCCCCTGCCCCACTCCTCTCAGCGTGGATCAGCCGCCAGAGCCAGCCCCGGAGCCATAGCAGAGGCTGCTGAGCCTGGCGCCAGACAAGCGGAGCCTGCGGGGGGGTGTCTCCAGAGCCCCGCTCTGCCACCGCCTGGGAGCGCGGGTACCCACCTTCTGGGCGGCACTGCTGGGGGCTTTGCTGGGGGCCGGCGTGGTGACCCCGTGTCTCTGCAGCACCTGCTCGGCGTGCTTGAGGACAGCTTCATAGCAGAACTTGAGATGCAGCTGGAAGAGAAGCAGCCGGTGAGGGCCCTTGAGCCAAAAGCTGACGAAGGCCCAGGCGCCAGGAACGGCCAGAGCCGACTCTGCCCTTCGAAGTGCGTCAGGGCACTGCCGTGCCCGCTGCCTGGCCCCCCCCGCCCTCCCAGCTCGTTACCTTCTCCTGCAGCATATGCTTCCTCTGCTGGCGCATCCTCTTCACCAGCCGGGCCAGGTCGGGGATGCTGTTCCCGGCCTCCACCTCCTGCACGGCCGCGTACATCAGGCAGAAGGCGCCGGTGCGCCCCACCCCAGAGCTGGTGGGAAGAGAGTGCCCAGGGGCCATGACCGGGGACCCTGCCGAAGCCCGGGCAAGCCGGAAGTCCCTGGCCCCTTACCCAGCACTGCATCGTGGGTAGATGGTCCCTCTCCCCAGGGGCCAGGGGCTCTGGGAGTCCTCTGCCCCGCACAGCAGGGCTGCAGTCTGGCTTGGGAACTCCTGGGGAAAGGGCCAGCCCTGCGGTCTCCCAGCAACGCGCTAGCTTTCTACGCTGGGCTCTTCCTCTGGCCCGGGAGGGAGGCTTGCTCCAAATGAGCAGGGCGCCCGCCCTGCTCCCATGCCCCGGCAGGAGGGGAGCCGCCTGTTGGGGGAGACCTGATGCCCGCGTGGGTCGCTGCTTTGGGCCTTACGCTGGGCCCAGGCAGCTGCAGCGACTGACTCGCTAGCTGGGGCTGAGCGGCGAACCCGGCCCCGGGAGGGCTGCCTTACCTGCAGTGGACCACGATGGGGGTGTGCAGGGGGCGCTGGTGTAGGTAGTGCCCGTGTACGTCCTGGATGAACCGCAGCAGGTTCCCCTTGCTGTCGGGCAGGCCCCTGCAGGAGGAAGGGAGGAGCTGCTGGCGAGTGGGCAAGGACCTGCCGTGCCCAGTGCCAGAACCTGGCCCGCCAAGCCATGCGGGGGAGGGCTTCCACCCCCATCCTGGGAGGTGCCACGCTCCTCCCAGTGGCACAGGGCCTGATTTCCCCTCCCCCCTAGGGGCCTGGTAGGGCATACAGTGCTGCTAGTGAGGAGATCTCCCCTCAGTGCCACCACACAGGGCCCTGGGGGGCACCAGCTGGGCTCCCAGGGCTCCACAGCCAGGCTGGGAGGGAACAGAAGCTCTGCCCTAAGAGAGCGCCTGCAGCCCAGCCCAGCCCCCCGGGGTGGGAAGTTCTGATCCAGTCGGCTGGGTTCTTCCCCCAGCACAAGTGTACCAGGAGCCCCCAGGGCCCTGACCCCCTTCTCCAGCCCCCCAGACAGGTCCCCCGCCCCGCGGCACATACAGCTCTGGCCAGGCCGTGAACTGCAGGTGGATGACAGTGCGCTTCAGGCTCTGGTCGCGGAACTGGAGGGTGATCATCCTCTCCACGTGCGTCGGGGCGACCTTCAGGCTGGTGAGGATCAAGGTGATGGGGCCCTGCACCATGGGCTGGCCCCGCTCCAGCGGGAAGTACCGCACCACCTTCTGCTGCGGGGCGAGAGACCGGGCTCAACACGCGGCGAACAGAGCCCAGGAGCACAACACAAGGAGTGGAGCCCTGTCCCCCAGCCCAGAGCCACCGCCCCACCTCCTGGCCCCAGCCCAGAACACAACGCCAGGGCCTGAGCCACTGGCCCTGCCCCCCCGGCCCCAGCCCAGAACACAACTCCTGCCCCAGGCTCCGGGGCACAGACCAACAAATTGCTCAGAGGACCTGGCAACGCAGAGGGCCCACCAGCAGGCTCCATGCCAACACCCAGCCAGAACTGGCCAGGAGCTCAGCTTTCAAGTGAGACCGTCCCTACCTTGGCTGGCACCCTGGCTGGCCGGAAGGACCTCCAGAAGTCATCAAGCCCACCCCACCATGCTGAGGCAGGACCAAGTAAACCTGGACCATCCCTGCCGGGGACCCACCACCTCCCTGGGAAGCCTGATCCAGAGCGTAACGACCCTGTTCATTCAAAAGCTTTCCTTAAGACCCAGCCTACAGCTCCCTTGTCTCAAGCAAGTGGGCACAGAGAACTATTGATCACCGTCCACTTTACCCCCCTGCCCCCCTTCATGGAAGCTGCCAGGTGAGAATGTCCTGCCCTGAGGAGCTCCTGGAGATCCTACCTTCTCTAGTTCCTGCTCAGAGACCAGCATGACTAGGAGGGAGACCTTCTGTTCGTAGATCATCAGCCAAAAGTCAGAGGCCGTCCCCACCAATGGGGCCTGGGTGGCGATGATGGTGGGGCAGTAGGAGGACAGGTCCTCCACCTTGCTGGCATTGATGTAGTCGTCCTTGCCCGACTGCAGAACGATGCGGTTCTTGTCATAGGGCATGATGTCCTGGTGGCGGTTTTTCATGGAGTAGCAGCGGGCGATGGCGATGGACAGCTGCCGGGCATCCCTCTCCTGGGCATCCTGGAGCTCCTTCCAGATGCCATCCAGCTCGGGGACGCTCCCAGGGACAGGCCTCTCCAGACTGGCCACCACGCCCCGGAACCGATCCAGCTCGGAAAGCAGCCTCATGATATGCTCAGGCTTCTCGTACGGGTCGTTCTCGATTAGCTGAACGGCCTTGGGTTTCTGCCCCTCCTTGGCATCTGCCTTGGTGGGCTGCAGCAGCGGCTGGTTCACCGCCGTCTTGGAGCCCCCGTGCTGGCTCTCGGGGCTTGAAGACAGGAGATCATCTGTGGAAGAGCTCTGCCGGTGGAACTGGACCTCAGCAGGGCCCTGTGCCAGCGGGGCCGCGCCGGGGGTGAGTGATGGGGGGGGTCGCTGTGGCAGGGAAGGGGCGCCAGGCACAGAGGAAGGCAAGATGGCTGGAGGCTGGATAGCTAGGGATGGCTGGGGGGATGGCGCCGGTGAAGGGATGGCAGGACCCGGGACAATAACGCCGCCTTGCATCTGGCTCAGAACAGGACTGGGTGAAGATGGGACATGGTGAGGGCCGGACTGACTCGAAGACGGGGGCTGGGGACCAGCCAGTGGCATGGCGGAGCCAGGCGGCATCTGGTTTGTAGGGGGCCCTGGATGGCAGGCAGAAGGGGCAGGACAGTAGGGCATTGCAGAGACCACTTGAGCTGAGGAGCCGGCTGGCATGGGCTGCATGCCTGCCAGCGAGGGGTGAGGGTGGAGCTGCTGAGCCGGGGCCAGCATAGCGGCTGGGAGGCTTTGAGCCCGTGGGGGAGGCCCGCGGGGCATAGCTGCAGGGAAGGAGTGAGGGGGGTTGTCCTGAGAAGGAAGCGGATAGAGCTGTGTTCTCAGCTGGCCATGGATCTGGGCAGGGCTGGGAGGCTGGGGAGAAACGTGCACCAGCCCCGAATGCTGGCCAGGGAACTGGGCCGGGAACTGGGCCTGCGGCTGGTACATGGGCAGGGGCTGGACCTGGGCCTGAGGCAGGTACTGCTGCTGTTGGAAGCTCGGAGGGGGCGGCCCCGCTGGGAATGGGGACTGGGGCTGCTGGCCGAATGGCTGGACGCCGCCTTGGGTGTAGGGGAACTGGGCGGGCAGGCCGAGGAAGCCGCCCTGAGGAGGGAGCCCTGGCGGCTGGTTGGTGAGCCGCGGGGGCATGGGCCCGCCCACGGCCCTGGGCGCAGTGTAGCTGGAAATGGGCGCCTGGATGCTGTCGACAGTTGTGGTGGCCGGGCGGACCACAAGGGGGTGAGGAGGGCCATCGCTGCCTCCTGGGGCCTGGCCACTGAACCGGGGGGGCTGGGGTGGGCCCATGGCTGTGGGGAGGCCGCCTGGCAGAGCCCCAGAGGAGGAGACAGGCTGCCCCATCCTGTAGGTGGCATTGGGGGCAATAGGAGCTGGAGCAGAGCCAGGCATGGGCACATGCTGGGGGGAGGATCTCTGGGGAGGCACCTGGGGGCCTGCGTAGCCGGGCTGAATGGGGGCAGGGGCGGGGCTGGGGTGCCCAGGGCCTCTCCTCAGGGTGCCAGCCGGGTAAAGCTGAGGGCTAGGCGACGGGGCAGAACTTGGAGGTCTGTGGGGCTGCATCGCCTGGGATGGCAGCACAGGGGCCCGCTGTAGGTCTGTGGGGGGAAGGGGCCTTGCAGAGGGCTCCCAGGGGCACCTTGCGGGGGGGGGTCGCCAGCCTGCCGGGGAAGTAGTGTCCCGGCAGAGGTGCCGAAGCACTGAACTGAGCAGGGTTAAAGGGAATGCCAGGCTGGGCTGCCATTGGCCGCTGTAGCGGAGCGTTGGCTGTCCGGGCGCCGGCCGGGAAAGCCTCCGGGCCTGGGGGCCTCACGCCACCACTGCTGAAGGCCGGGTTGATGGAGAAGGCAGCCATGGCGTCCGCAGGCAGCCTGGTGAGATGCGCTGCCAGCACGTCGGGGGGCAAGCTCCGGAGCTCTTCCGGCAGGTCGGCCAGCGAGAGGGAGCCCAGCTGCTGCAGGTCTGCCCCGTCCAGACCGGCCGCGAGGTCCAGGTCCCGCTCAGAGGCCTTCTTCTGCAGGGCCGGTTTGGGAGCAGTGGGCCTTGGAGGCGGCTTCTTCTTCATTTCTCTGCCAAAGCAAGAGCAGGCACGTGAGGAAAACCCAGCTCCCTGGCGCCGGTGCCTTGAACGGAGAGGCTTTGCGCTCCCTGACCCACCAGCCCAGCTCTAAGGGCCGGCGTCATGGGCGCTGGCAGAAGGTACCTCCAGCCTCTCCTGCAGGGACCCCCCGTGGGAGCGGGGAGGGGAGAGGGGTTTGGGCTCTATTGCTGAGTCAGCCAACAGCAGTGGTGGATTCTGCGCCCTTGACACCCAGCTGCGGCCCTAAGGAATGGGCTGAGGCTTCCATCCTGCACGTCCCATTTCATCCCCAGGCGCCGTCGTGTCGCTGTTAGGGGCTCTCTTGTGCCACACGGTCTCTGCACCGCTCCTAGTCACCCTCCCACGCTAGGGGACTTGGGGGAGCCTGAAACACCCCAACGTTCGGGTTCTCAGCGCTACGGCATGCCCAGCCCCCACACAGAGAAACATGAACATGGTGAACGAGCTGACCACTGCAGACGCAAGGAGTAGCAGAACCCACCCCGCAAGGTGGGCCGGATGTGGGGCAGTGACCTACCTTTCCAGGACCTGCTGCCGGCTTGCTTCAGATGCTTGGCAGGCCACTCGGGCCTTCTCCAGGAGCTTGGCTGCTTTGCTCTCCAGATCCGCATAGAAATCTTTCCCTTCCTGAGACTTCTTCATCAGGTCTTCATAAGCTTCATAGGAGGCCACCAGTGTCTGCAGCGTGGTGTTCCACCTGGGAGAGTCAATGCAGGGCATGCAGTGGGGGGCGATATTAACAGAGCAGTCCTGGAAACCTGGGTGATTGTGGGGGTGGGGGTTGAGAGCAAGGCTCACTGGCCTCTATGCGCCCCACCCCTGGAGTTGGTTTGTTTACACCCCAGCCATGGCACCAGCACATTCCAAATCAGGGACCCGGCCCGTGGGGGGCCCAGGTTTCCTCTCCTCCACTGACAGCCCCGGGGGACCACTCCTCTGGTTTATAGCTGAACCAGCCTCAAAGCAGTCAAACACTAGGGCCTGCAGGGGGGCAGCCTATGGGTGCCTTGGGGTTAGCGCCATGGGGCACGGCAGGCAAAGTCAGCAGCAACCACCACGGGCCCAGCTGGGATGTGGATCTCTGCACAAGAAGAGCGGAGGGGCTGGCGAGGCCCGCAGACCCCACCCCTCTGGCCGCGCCAGCCAAGAGGTGCTGGGGCACACAGAGCGAGCGGCTGGCTTCGGGCTCGCGGGGGGGCATTCCCCACCGGAGAACGGGAGATGGCAGACCCTGGCCGAGGCCTGGGCTCGTTTTACACAGCACAGGGCCAGCGCTGCATGCGAGGAGCGGACTCTGCTGCAGCGACCGCCACTGCCCCCTGCGGGCGACGCCATGCTTCCCACCCACTCACTTGTGCTCCACCTCAGCCAGGACCTTCCGCACTGCCGCATACTTGACATTGGCGTCCGTCAAGGCCTTCAGGACGTTCTCCTGGGCCGCCAGGTTCTGCTCCAGATACACCTTGATCTGGTCGTACTTCTTCAGCTGCTCGTCGAAGAGCTTCTGTCAGGGGCGAGAGGAGCACGCTAGGGTCAGCGGGAGAGCCGGGCTGAGTGCGAGGCTGGGGAGCTCAGCGGGGAACCCCACAAGCTGAGTGCGGGGAGGGCTGGGGCCAACTGAGAGTGGCAGGAAGAGGCCGCGATAGGAGCATGATACCTAGCAGGGCGGAGCAAGGCCCTTTGTATGACTGGGGGGACCGCAGGCGCCATCATCAGCTCTGACCAGAGATACTAGTGCACTAGGAGTGCGGAGAGCAGCGGAAATGGCCCAGGAGATCACTCCTCTCCAAAGGGGATGTGACCACGGCCGGCAGGCAGGGACAGGGAGGAACAGCGGGGGGGGGGGGGGCAGTCTGTTTGGAACGTAACAGGCTCAGCTCAGTCCCAGGCGAGGCAGCAGCTCGGCACTCTGCCCCGGGCCTCACCCTCATCTCCGAGTGGTCGGTCGTCACTAAGGAGGTGGTGATGTCGTCCTTCTGGATCATCTCACGGAGCTGCTGCTCCAAGGACATCCGCTGGTCCTTCATCTCCTGCACTTTGGACAGGATCCGCTTCAAGTTCTGCAGCACCTGCTTGTCGTCTGAGGGAGGAAGGAGAAAGCCATCACCACTGGGGGCGCTCCCCAAGCCACTGAGGAGCCTGCTCTGTACAGGTTCCATACTGTGGTCACCCAGCTCACCTAGCTACAGCCACCCCCCGGGAAAACGATCCCTCGGACAGGCAGGTACCGCTCCTGTTGGTGCCAGTGGAACCTGACCCCCTGCTCCAGGGCTAAATTTGGCCCTTGCTCAAGACACGCTGTGGGTCCAGAAGCCAAGCAGGCCTCCTGCCTCCTACAGCCCCCCAGGAAGTCTCCAGCTGACATTCAGAGGACTGGCGATGGAGAGGCACCACCGAACCCAGCCTGCTCACCCAGCCCTGAAGCAAGACAGGATGAGCAAGCTGCTGGTGTCAGATCAGACTCCGCCCTGGGGAGCAGCTCCGGGGTCTCAGCCAGAGCAAGGGTGTGACATTAGCTGGAGGCATTCTGCCCTTTACACTCCACCCATCACCCACAGATCTGATCCTCTGCCCTGTCACTATTAATCTAAGCCATGCAGCAGGCAGCATGCTCAGCAGTGCTGATTGGCCAGTTAATACTAGGCCCCTGCAACCATTTAACCGAGTTGCCTGGAGGTTCTCGCAGCACTGCAAGTCTCAGCTGTCTCTCTAACCACCTGGGAGCTGGGGTGCATCTGTCTGTCTATGTTCCAGAGCTCGGAGCCTCGGTAGGTCAGAAATTTCACCTGGAGTCTAGACCCAACCTGCCTCCTGATCCAGCCTGTGTCCCCATCACTAGCTCAAGTTGCAGTGGGGGAGGTTTAGATTGGATATTAGGAAAAACTTTTTCACTAAGAGGGTGGTGAAACACTGGAATGCGTTACCTAGGGAGGTGGTAGAATCTCCTTCCTTAGAGGTTTTTAAGGTCAGGCTTGACAAAGCCCTGGCTGGGATGATTTAACTGGGAATTGGTCCTGCTTTGAGCAGGGGGTTGGACTAGATGACCTTCTGGGGTCCCTTCCAACCCTGATATTCTATGATTCTATGATACTTTATCTGACCCCACAGGCTGGGAACCAGCAGAGCACTGCAGAGGGACCCAGCTGGAGCCCAAAGCATGGGAGGGACAAGGCCAAGAGGGAAGGCACTAGCTTGGGGCCCACAGCAGGAGCAGATTCATTCTTCTGGGGCAGCGAGAGACAGGGAAGACCAAGGAAGGAGAATAGCCTGGATCTCAGCATTAATGCCTCCAGGCCAGCGAGCCGGCACAGCTCAGCCCCAGCCAGAGCTCTCCGAGGGAGGAGCGAGGCTCAGGGTGCCATGGCGCTGGTTGCTCACCTTCCGTCAAGGCCGGCGCAGGCAAGGCAGTCCGCACCTGCTCCAAGGGCCCGCTCAGCAGTCGCAGGTTGCTGATGTGCAGGTTCATGGCTTTGTGCAGCTCCGTGTTGGTGAAACTGGCCTTCTCGTGCACCTCCATGTACTTGGCCCACTCTTTGCTGACCTCAGCCAGCCCCGGGGAAGGGCTAGGAGGAGAACCCGGCTTGCCAAGCAACTCCTGCAGCTTCTGGTCCTGCAGCTCATCATCATCCAGGAGGTCCCTGATCTCCTTCAGAGAGGCCTCCACGTCGGTGAAGACTCCCGAAAGCACTGGAGGAGCAGAGACCCAGAGGCATTAGGACACTGGAGGTGTTTCCAGCGAGGCTGGGCAAGGCCCCGGAGCACGACTGGAGACTGAGCCGGCTCCACCTAGGGCCCAGTGCTAGGACAGGTGCAGCGAATGGTCTCGTTTGTCCCAGTGAAATTAGCGAGCTTCACCAGCATACCGGGGGTGGCAGAGGCAGAGACAGGAGGTGGCTGGTCAATCAGGGCAGAGAATAGAGCCCAGGAGTCAGATCCCCAGCCTCCAGGAAGACCCCTTTGCCATGACTCACTGGCCTTTCCTCCGTGGGGATTCCCCTAGACACATGCCATCGGATCTTACCCTGCATGGACTGAACCAGGTTCTTCACTGTGTCTGGCCGCACACTGAGTGCGGCGCATTTCTCCATCAGGATGGGGGGAATGTGGTTGTACATTTCCAGGTTATCCACCGTCTCAGGGTCCAGCTGCATGGAGTCCATGAACTGGCTGTAGACAGAAAACAGAGCCCTCTGAGCAGCAGGAGAACCCTTCCCAGACACAGCCCTGGGGATGGGAGCATTTGCAGACGCTGCAGCCAGTTTCTTGGCAGTGGGATCATGGGTCTCAGAAATGAGAAACTGGAAGGATCCCAAAGGGCTTTACAGAACGCACACCCATGGTCACCTCCGCCAGCACGGAAACACAGCCACCTCTGGGGAGGAGCACGACAGCACACACTGCATGACACAGTGCAGGACAGGAAGGGAAGGTGAGCACCACACAGACAAACAAAACTTCAGGGTGAATCCAGGGAGACAAAATGTAATAACCCAAATTGGAACCGGGCCTGAACCCAGGGTTAATACCCCAGCTATTGGGAATGGGCCATGGGAACTGTGGGGTCCACCAGTGCCTTGGTTTCCAGATCTTCCCAAAGGAGAGCTCCAGCAGCACAGCGCCCTCTAGGGCACTGGCTCAGTACTGACTCAGGAAAGGGCAGCATGTACCGAATTGCCTGCCCCATTTCCTTCAGTGCCTTGGGTCACCCTTGGAGACCTGCCATCCCACCACGCCAGGTCAGGGGGAGGCACTATTGCTGAGAGGTGACCTCGCACTGGGCCATGGCTGAAGGGAGCAGAGCTCACTTCCCATCAGCTGGGATGGGGAAACGCAGAACAGCGAGGCAATGGGGGACCCCCGCACTGTCGGGTGTGCACTGGCCAGGGACCAACTCCATCCACACCAGCGAGGAAAACCCCACACGCTAGCGCAGTCTCAGAGCGCACATACTCCAGGACTTCATTCTTGGCCTCGATCTTCGCCATCACTTCTCTCAGCAGCTTGGCCTTCTCCTCACTAGGACAGACGAGAGAAAACCCCTCAGCACCCAGACCAACCAAGGTACTTACAATCACTGGGCCCTATGCTGGGTACCCTGTTCAGGACTCGAACCTTCCTCAGGCACTCCAGGAGCAGGCTGAGCCGGCCCTATGGCTAGCCAGGGGCTAGCACTGCCCTGTTCCAGCAGCTCCCGGAGAGCCAGGCTGGAAGAAGCGAGCAGGTGAGAGCCGAGGGAGAAACGCTCAGGACTGGAGACACTGGAAGGGCCCTTTCAGGCAGGCACAGCCGAGTGTCCAGTTTCGGCTGCTCCCCTACAAGGTGCTGGGGACCCAGCCCCTGGTGGGGAGGGGGTGGGGGGGTTCTGATTTGTTTGGGGAGGTCTCTGGTGAGTTCAGCCTCCTGCAGTTCCCATTCACCTCGGCGTGCTGAGTGCCGGACACGTCCTCACCAGAGCCACAAGCCCCTGCTCGAGAGAGATCGCCACATTTCTGGCAGGGAATCACTGGACCCAGCTTCCTGGCCCCCGAGGCAGGATCCATACCCTCCCGTTACTGAGCACACAGATGCCCCGGGGCTGCCTCAGGAAGTACTTGCTATGGAGATCCTCTCCACTCACCTGTACAGCGAAGATGCCTCATGGGCGGCCATTGGCACCAGCTTGGCAAAGATATCCGGGCCCGTGACAGCTGGGTCGGTGGGGTTGACGGGAAGGGCCTTCACCAGGGTGGCACCTGAGTATAGAAGAGAACAGCCTGACACCGATGCCTGCGAATGATTCAAGGACACAGGATTTCCCTTCGTGCCCAAAGCTGTTTTTCGGGCTGCGCCTGCCACCAAACGCAGATCAAAGCGGCCAACAGCTGTTCGCCTCCAGCAGGTGCTGTGGAGACCCTGGGAGCAGGAAGTCCCTGGCGTGAGTGCCATCAGTGGTGCCAAGGGGTTGGAGACCGGTACCAACCCCCCCTGTGCTGCTGGGGCAGCGTGTTCTCATCGCTGCCCATTACCAAGATACCTGAGCAAAGCGCGAAGTGCTTCCCTTTCGGAGAGGCTTCTTCCCCACTCGGACCACCACCCCCTCACTCCAGCCCGGAGCCCGGATTGCGCGGGGCTGAAGCTTTATGCACCAACCACGGCATGGTTTTGCAGAGCTGCGGGCAGCAGCAGAGGGATGGACGTGCCCGGGTCTGGCCTGCCTTACCTTTCACTGACTGCAGGGTGTCCAGCGCAGGGACAGCTTCATGATAGATGAAGTCATTGTCCTTCTTGGCCGAATTGTACCTACAAACAGTTGAAGTGTAAGTCCAGGGAGGGGAAAGGTGGACCAGCTGGGACTCAAGGAGTGAGCTTGCTGGGTTAGGTGGGCAGGAGCCTCACGAGGGGTGTTTTGCTGCCCACCTGACGCCCCCAGAAGACACTATCTGCCATCTCTATTCTACAGGCTGATCCTCACCTGCCATTCAGTGGGTACAACCCCACCCAGTTCCCTCTGGGGAGAGGATGGACCACATGTGACAGACATTAGCTAGTCACTTAACAAGCTGCTCACAGCACTGAGATGCTACGGTGCGGACAGCGTGAGAAGACCCTGTACAGATCTACACTCACCAGCAGCACATGTGAATTTGGCCCTAGATACGGAGACCCTACACAGAGAAAAGCATGTGCCAAAGCTCCCCACAGTGAGTGGCGGGGGCGGGGAGGGAGATTCAGCAAAGAGGTTTGACCCCAGAGAGCCTAGAGACAGACTCCAGTCCCAGAAGCAATTCTGGCTGCAGACTCACTTTCCCCCAATCACATCCAGGGTGAATCGCAGGGCTTCCTGCACCGTTTCAGGCTGACCCTAGAAGAGGCAAAAAACATGAGTTAACACAGGCAGTCCTGCCACATCACTGCAGTCTATGTAACACGCTGAGCCGCCCTTCTGAATGCTGCATCCTGCTGCCCTCCACACACCAAGCCGTGATCTGAAGGCAGAAGCAGCCTGGCAGCCCCTCACTGCCCCCCCATTTCCCCCTTCCTACTTCCAGAATGAGCAGCCGGCGGAGACGAAAGGAGCAGTGAACAGCTCAGAGCTGCAGTTGCAGGCTCCCTGCAGACTCTGGCAGGCACCAGCCCTTGGGTGCATTCTGGTCGCATTCTGCGGGCTGACTTGTTATTCACAACGGACAGCTGGGATTCGGAGCACCACAAACACAAGGCGGGTCGATCCTGTGCCAAACTTGCATCCCATGCCCCAAAGGGAGTTTTACCCCCGACTTCGGTGGGGGCAGAGACAGGCCAATGCCAAGAGCTTTCAACAGCCTCTCCAGGTCTCCGTGCAACAGAAACACCACCTACTTCTTGTCTGCATCACGTGATGTAAATGGGCCAAATTCACCAGCTGGGCAGCGGGTTCAAGACACTGTAGTAAAATCATGAAGGAGTCCGGCCCCCCCCCGAGCTGTAGAACACATCTGGAGTCAGTACTACAGTGAGTGGGGGTCAGACGCAGCCTCCAGTAAAAACTTAGGGCTTTACCATATGGACCAGGGCTGTGTTAAACCAGCAAGTTCCTTCTTTGCAATGGAGGATGTCAGTTAAGCCCCACGCTCCCCCCATGGTCCAACATGTGAGAGGCACGTAGGCTCCTAGGGGCCAGGGAAGGAGAGGACACCTTGTTGAAGATCCAGAATGGGCTTTACTCAGTCTTAGTGCAAGAGCCAAAACTCCCATTAGACCTAGAAACCAGGAGGCACCAGTCTTAGGTCTCAGCATTCACAAATCCCCAGGGCAGGAGACAGACCCCCTAGTGTACTGGAAAAGCAGGACCTTGAGTTTTCCAATGGCAGAGGATTCATTTCAAACCCTGGATGACTGTAAGGCCGGCTTTAAAAGTCACATCATTCTGATTACCACCGCCCCCACAAATTGTCACCTATTCTAGTGACCAGTCTTCTTGGTGCCAAGAGATAGGCTACGTGGAACCTGGTACCAAGAGGTCTTTCTCCCTAACAGTGCACAACTGCTCCCTATCGTCAAGCAACGGGGCTTCCACCACCTCCCTTGGGAAGTTCTTCCACAGAGCTGGTGCTTGGAAAGTTTCCTTGAGAGCTGCTGGAAACCAACGTTTTGCACCATCTGAAAGCTAGCCAGCCCTGCTCCGATGGCACCGAGCAGATGTCTCCTTCTGAAAGTGCGCGAGGCTGCTACAATCTTTGGAGAAAGTGCACAGCTGGTTGCTCACTACCAGCACTCTCAAAACCTGTATTTTGAGCACTGATCCCAGAGGGTTTTTTAAAGACCATCGGTACCATGGACAAGAAAGCTGCTTACCTTTGCCAGTTTGATAGCTTCATTGAGTTTATCCAGAGCGCTCTGGAAGTAGACAACCTGCAGAGAAAGCAGAGATAAGTTCTGCCAAACTCCTCTGCAAGCTGGGAAGGAGTCACAAGAGCACACACACTTGCTGTGCCACATGCAGCCAAACAGGCCAGCGAACCCTGTGTAAAGATACCTAGGACAATCCAACGCCATTAAATACAGTGGGGACTTCTAAGAAGAAGGAACAAATTAATAGCACAATCAAGCAACCCAGATGAAGGTACTCTGCCCGTGAGACACCCAGGGGCCATTTTCTAGAGAAGGACGGTACGTGAGAAATGCAGTGCCCCACACAGCCACGTCAGCAATCCAGCTATTGCCATCACACGCTGCTGTCCCTCCAGGCCAGGTTCCAGAGCGGGTGTTCCCACGAGTAGACGAGTCTCTCATCCTGCGTTGGAGATCTCTGGAGGTGCCTGCACTGCACCCAATGGGAATCACATGGAAAATGGCAATCATGCAAGTGTGGATTCTCTTCTGAGAACAGGGTCGGAAAGTCACATCCACCGGCATACGCAAGCTTTCAGCCTTAACTCTACCCCTGCTGGGGGACAGCTCCCTCCGTGGGCAGCACACCTGCGTGGAGTTTTAGAACAAAAGAACAAGCCTCGCTGGAAATGTACACAGTAACAAGAAAGATGGTGCCCGAGTTCATGTGGAGTACGGGAGGCCGATCCGCTATTTGCCTCATGGATTGGTGCAGAAGCAGCAGGGGCTTCCAAGTTACAGTTTAATAGACACCAAAGCTTTCAATGTGTCCACTGTATCATGGATAGTTGAGTTCCCCCCGTGTAGCCCAACCTCTTCAAAGGGTAAAGGCCAAGCCCACACAAGATGGGACTTGGTTTACAGCTGGACTGCAGGAGGATTAACCAACCCAAAGCAGAAAAAGTTTTACTTACTCGTTCTCCAAACTTCTGCTGCTCCTCAGCCTGTTTCCCCATATGCAACTGCAAGGAAACACAGCCGCTGATGGCAGGGGCCCTCATTCAGGGACGGGCTCAAGAGGAACTGACTGAAGCCCTACAAAGCCAGCCAGGGGACGCTCTACAGGAGACTGCATTTCGCCAGTCTCCAGGTACACTCAGGAACTCCACGCCCATGGGGACCACACCACCACCTCCCCCCGGCGGGTTTACGCAGCCACAGCCACCCGCAAGCGGAGGGATGCAAGGGGGGCTGCTGCTGCTGCTCTGGGGTGGCCAGGGTGGGTCTCCCCCGGGGCGCAGCCTCATTCTTCCCACTCACATGGGCGACGGCAGCAAAGTAGTAGATCTTCATCTGCACCAGCTTCTTCCAGCCCTTCTGAATCTTCCCCAGCAGCGAGGCTGTGCCCGAGTCCTCCAAAGCCCGGCAGGCCTCCTTGTAGTAGTCCACCACCTACATGGAGAGAGCTGGTCAAGAGGCATCTCAGGGTGGATTCACAGCATCAGAATCCCAAAAGAAAGCCCTAGCGCCAGTTAAGAACATAAAAGAGGCCAGACTGGGTCAGGCCAAGGGTCCACCTAGCCCAGTGTCCTGTCTGCCGACAGTGGCCAGTGCCAGGTGCCGCGGAGGGAGTGAACAGAACAGGGAATCATCAAGTGATCCATCCCCTGACGCTCATTCCCAGCTTCTGGCAAACACAGGCTAGGGACACCATCCCTGCCCAGCCTGGCTAATAGCCATTGATGGACCTATCCTCCATTAACTTATCTAGTTCTTTTTTGAACCCTGTTATGGTCTTGGCCTTCATGACATCCTCTGGCAAGGAGTTCCACAGGTTGACTGTACGTTGTGTGAAAAAATACTTCCTGTTTGTTTGTTTTAAACCTGCTGCCTCTTCATTTCGTGACCCCCTAGTTCTTGTTATGAGAAGGAGTAAATAACACTTTCTTATTTACTTTCTCCATATCAGTCATGATTTTATAGATCTCTATCATATCTCCCCTTTTTTCCAAGATGAAAAGTCCCAGTCTTATTACTCTCTCCTAATACAGAAGCTGTTCCATACCTCTAATCATTTTTGTTGCCTTTTCTGAACCTTTTCCAATCCTAATATATCCTTTTTGATATGGGGCAACGACATCTGCAAGCAGTATTCACCATCAGGGCATACCATGGATTTATATAGAGGCAATAGGATATTTTTCCGTCTGATTATCTGTCCCTTTCTTAATGATTTGCAACATTCTGTTTGCTTTTTTGACTGCCGCTGCACATTGAGTGGATGTTTTCAGAGAACTATCCACAATGACTCCAAGGTCTCTCTCTCGAGTGGTAACAGCTCATTTAGACCCCATCACTTTATATGTATATTTGGGATGTTTTCCAATGTGCATTCCTTTGCAGGGAAGTAACGGCAGGCTGGAGTTCTGGCTGCCACACAGCGCCCAGGTATTGCAGCTTACAGGGCTCTCCCTCGGCCGCAGGAATGCCTGAGCCAGCGTCCTGATTCGGACTAGATCGTGTCAAGTTCAGACACTGACTAACTCAAATGATTTGACTTTAAAAGGCTTGGTCTTTAAACCATTACTCGCTGGCCCTCACGCTCTAGCAGAGAGCGAATGTCCCCCACCCTGCCGCCCGCACAGCAGTGACTGTGTATAGGATTTCCTTCTCTGCTTGCAAACCACCTCAGCTGGTTCCCGGGTTTCAGAGATTCCCGTGGAGTTGTTCTTGTACATGGCAGGGCAGCAGGAGGGGATCCGTCTCAATCACGGTTCAGTTGCCCACAGAGCGTAGCGCAGCAGAGGGAAAGGCGCTGGAGCAGCAGAGCTCCCCAGGTAACTCACCTGGGCGCTGATCCTGGCCACGAGGAAACTCTTCCTGTTGTCCAGCATCGACTTCTCCAGGAGACACTCCTGAGCTTGACCCTTCCAGGAAAAGCAATGGAGACACTCAGCTCTCCCCAGGGCTCCGCATTCCAGGGCTCCTCAAAGTCACCCCAACCAAACTCAGCCAGCCCCCTCTCCCCTGCCCCAAAAGAGTCACTCAGCAGTGGCTCCAGTCTACCATGCTAGAGATGCCGACACCGACCAGCTACAATGCAGAACAAAGCCGAAGGAGCCAGAACAGCTCATGGGACTAGCCACGCATAGAAAGCCTCTCCCCTCCATTGCCACTTCAAAGCCAGCCCATCCATGGGAACCCTAAATCACTGTGAAGTGAGCGTACAGATTCACCCCACCGCCGCGTTGGAGGGCTCAGGTGCGAGGCCAAGCACGGACTGAATGGCCTTGGAGACCGATCTCCCCTCTAACTTCCAGGGGCGACCCTAGGACTGAGGTACATTGGTGGGCCCATTTAGGGGACAGGGCTGCACTGGCTCTGGAGATCAGAGCTGAAAAACACAGGTCAGCCCCTGCCAGCGCAGGGCTCTGTCTGCTCAATCCCTAGGGCTGTCAATCAAGTCAAACACTTCCACCACTTCTTTCTCCTAGCTAAAGTGAGCTGGCCACGGAGGCTGGACTTCACCTACGCTCAGCTTAGCTCCAGTACAGCGGCAGTGCGGCTGAGCCAATAAAGCCACCTCATTTGGAGAGTCAAAATCCAAACCCTTCCTCCCTTTCAAGGCCAAAGTGCTGACCAGACAATGGCTATCAGTCTGACGCCTCCCAGAGCTGCACACGAGAATGAATAAAGCAAAGAGCATGCAAGAGGCAGGTGCCGTTATAATGGGATCCACTGACGCAGTAAGCCAGGTCAGCTTCCTTCGCACCCACTTCTACCTTTCTCCTCTACAGCGAGGACAACAACGTCAAGGTATTTCCACCTGCTCTGTCAATAGCCCCACCCCCGACCCCTTGGAAACGGGAACCAACTTGTTTCCTTACCACTTTTATTCTCCCCGATTTGACATTTAAAACTCCCTTTGCTGTTCAGGCCATTAGGCTCGAGAGCTCAGTATCCCAGCGTGACAGACTGGGGACTGGCCACTTTCCTCAGAAAGTGAGCAGACCCACAACGCATGCAGCCACCCATGCAACCCTGCAGATGGAGAGGAAAATATTCCTCTTGTTCCTGTGGGGGGGGGGGGGAGAAGGGGGGTGGGGGAAGAGAATCAGCTGATGTTCTGGAGCCGGACTTGCAATTCCTCCCCTACGTCAGCACTCTGAGATCTCTCCTAAAGAAGGACAGACACCGGAAGCCTCTCTTGGCTACTTTTTGCAGACAATTTCCCTCTAAGCAGACAGCAGGCTTACAATCTGTACGTTCCAAAGTACTGGGACAACTCCATCTTTATCCAGCTCTGTCCAAGGGTGGCTCCCACTCCATCTGGCCTTTGAAAAATGAGACAATGCCAGGTCCAATACTGAGCATGTCTCCTTCTCCCCTCGCCTCGTCAGCTTTGGTGAGATCCCTTTAAATGAACTGCATCTAACGAGCCCAGCCACTGGATCCCAGCACGAATGGTGAGCAGCAAAGCCAGCACCCACCCTTACCAGCATGAGGTTGATGTTGAGGTTAAGGATCTGGTGACTCATGTCCACGCTGTACGAGTGAGGGAAGTGATCCCGCAGGTAGGTGAAAGCCCCGGCCGCACACTGGAAATGGGTGCAGGAAACCTTCATGCCCTGGCCAGGGCCGCCGCAGAGGGAGAAGAAACACGTAAGGCTCTAATGCACCCAAGCCAAAGCAGAGGGCGCTGCACAGACGCCATCCTGCCTTGATTACCGAAATTTACCAACAGCCGAGAGATGCAGCAGGATTTCTTTTAATTACCTTTTGCCTTCACGAAACCCCAAATGTTACCATCTTAAGGGGAGTTAAACCTTCTCCTGCCCCAGTTATCCAGGCTTTCATCACCTGGAGACTGGATAACCATGATGCTCTACATGGGGTGACCCCATGAGACCACTCAGACCCGAGAGGTTGCCAAAAGCACCTACTGCTTATTACTGCCAGAAGCAAGTTACCCCCTTGCTCTGGCTGCCGTCGGGTTCCCAGACGGGGCTGGTGCTAATTTTCAGCTGTGAATTCCTACATGGCTTGGGAGCTGGTCAGCAGAGGGACTCTCTTCCCAGGTGATGCTTCCATGAGCCAGGTCAGCTGGGAGCTCCCCAGGTTGGGAGAGGAGGGAGTGGCTGGCAGGACTCTCCAGGAGGGGTCCTTGCCATCAGGGCACGTGGTCAGGCCCGTCTTTTCCGAGCATCTGCTTGGAGAGTGGGGGAGGTTCTGTTATTGGCTGGAGGGAAGACTGCATGTGGGGTTACATTGGGGTGTTAAATTATGTCAGGGTGCCCAGAGCTTGCCACAGACACTGCTACAGGGTTTCTATAACTATACACAACGTGAAAAAAAATCCTGTATTCATTCCTCTCCCCCAGTCCCGGGAATCCCAGCACCTGGCATGAGCGACACAAAAATCTTCAGACTTCAGTAAATGTGACAAGTCCCCACCAGAGATTAGCTATCGCCGACCTTTGTGCTCTCATCGGTTTGAAAGAGACCACCCATGATAAAGGGGGGAACCACGAGGTGTTTAGCATCTTTACCTCCTCGGAGACTCTCTTGTCCATGGCGCCCAGCATGGAATGCAACGCCCCTGTTGGGAACAGGAAGCTCAGATCAGGCCATTGGCGCATTCCTGCAGCATTAAAGCCCCTCTGCCAGTCTACGACTGACACAGCTACATTTACACTGCACATTTTGTTCCAAAGGCTCCCGAGCCACATAAAACATACAAATAATACTGATCAGTTCAGCTACCGAGAGGCAGCCACTTCTGGGGTGGAGCGCTGCAACCATGCACAGCACCGTAAAACAGTTCAGAACAAGAAATGAAGATTTCCCCCTGCAGTTACAAGGGCTATGGCAATTTGGGGAAGCAGGAACATCCACCTGGAGCTGGGCTTTGTCACAAACACTTGGGACTACCTTTCTTACTCTTGTACCGGGGCTCTAAAACCCAGTGATCCGGATCTCTATTGCATGTCTCATGGTAAAATTAGCAGCACCCCAAGCGCCACCCTGGAGCATTGGATCCGCACTGACTCAGAGGAAAGAGTGCCCAGCACGTGACTCCATTCTCCATCTTCTCTGGCTCAGCCTCTCTTTGAGCTCCAAGCTGAGGCTCTGGCTCAAAGCCTAAGGGGCCAGACTCAACCCTGGTTTAAGCTAGTGCAAGTCTAGCAACTTTAAAGGGCCGATCTATCCACTAGTACAGACCCCTTTATCGATGCATCTACACCAGCCGTTCTCAAACTTTAGCAATCCGAGAACCCCCATTTTGATTTACTTTTTTTGCAGACACCCAAGCCCCCTGCTCAGCCCCAGGCCCCGCCCCCACTTCACCCCATCCCCCCAGGCCCTACCTCCTGCCCCTCCTCTTCCCTGCCTCTTTCCACCCCCTCCCCAAGCATGCCCTGTCCCTGCTCCTCCCTCTACCTCCCACATGCTGCTAAACAGCTGTTCCCCCAGTGTGCAGGAGGCACTGGGAGGGAGGGGGACCCCCGGGGGTCTGCGGAGCCCAGTTTGAGAAATGCTGACCTACACCATTTTAATCCTTGCTCATTTTGATTGTTGACAGCTCACTGAACTAAACTACACCTATTTACATGAGGGATAAACCGGTTTAAGTACAACCAGCTGGGTTTGCACCAGCTGAATTGGATCAATTTCAAATTGATTTAATTAAACGGATGCAACTTTTCTCCTAGACAAGGCCTGATTGGCCTGCGGGGGAGGGTGATGCATAGTAATGCTCTGGCTTGTCGTTCATCGATCAGAATGACGGGGAAGAGCCCTTCGGAGCTGACCCTGAATATCAGCCTCACCCGCACCGCAGATGCCCGGACTGAAGCCTCACTTGAGGGTCTCGTGCCTGGCACACACAACACAGCCAGGGTTCAGATCTGGCTGGTGTCCTCATGGCCAGCAGAATCCGCCAGAGCCAAGGAAACAGTGGCTCAATTGTCCTCAGTGACCACAGTAACACTTCAAGATGTCATGGGTCTTCTCTCCCAAGGGCCAGCACTTCCAGCTGTGGGCAGCTTCATGCCGACCGTCACCACTGGCTGCGGGCAGATCGGCTGAATGCCCCTGCAGCTGACACCCCTCCCCCAATTGAACAGCAGGACCAGGCTGGACGATGGACCCTGTGGAGAAGGGAATGAGGGCTAGCCAGGGAGGAGGGCATTCTCTGGTGCTAAGCAAACCCCAGGGCACTCTGGGCAACACACATTGCCAAGCCAAGCCAGCAGGTGGGCTCCAGGGCCTTACCGAGGTTATAGAGGATACACGCCTGCTCATACTTGATGTCCTCATGGGTAACTGCCTTGCCAGAGAAGATCTCCGTCCTGTGAACGAGAAGCCCAGGGTTAGCCCCTACACTAGTGAGCTAGCGAGATGGCCAGATGCACAGCCCACAGCCACATTTCCAGGGAAGGCAGATGGCTCACAACTAATGGCTCAGAGCAGGCAGGGGTGATCCAAATGATTTAGACTCACTTTCTTATCTAGCTGGCATATGGTCCACTCCAAACCGAGTGGGAGATGGGAAGCTGCTAGGTACATAAACCAGCAAGCCCCTATAATGTTTGAGTGGTGCCAGGACCAGTCTTCTTAGCCTACTAGGGAAGTGTTATCTAGTGGTTAGGAGGAGGGGCTGGCATCAGATCTCATCCAAAGCAGGGTCAGGCACATGGGTGGGAGACCTCCAAGGAGCACAGCTGGGAAAGGTGTCACTTGTTCAGTACGCAGCACTCCTCCCTGCGAGGGGGCACTTGACCGATGGCTCTGTCATGTTTCAGTCCTGCCCACCTGTGGGCATTAGATTTGCCATGGCACTCCGGGAGGGGACAGCCTGATCTTACACGCACCAAAAGCGAGTTCATGCTGTTTGAACGTGTTTTCAGTTTCACACGCCAAAGCCGCAGACTGGATTTTAACCTGAGGGGCTCTACTAACTGGGGTGTCCCTTGGCAGAGACGAGCGACCGATCTCCCTCCCCTGGCTTGGCCATGCCTTTGAACACCAGGCAGGGACAGAGAACACGTGCTGCTCTGTCCAGGAAGGTGTGTTTCTACACATCAACGGAGAGCAGCCAGCAAGCAGCCCCAGGGGCTGAAATTCACTCTCGAGCCACAAGCCCCAAAGCCCAGCCTCCACCACTGCCACCAGGCGGCGTAAAACCATCCCTCTTGGTCAGTCCTGTGCCCCCTAGGGCCATCGCTGCACCCTAACGCACTGAAATCCCAGCTGCGGCAGGAAGTGCAATCGCTGGCTGAAAGGTGCTATAAAAAACTCTCAGTTACTACACTGCACTTCTAATAGCTTCTTCCATCCCAGGCTCTCCCAGTACTCCACAAACCTCCACTAATCCTCACGTCCCCGGGTAGGGAAATACTCTTCTCCCCAGCTTACAGTATTAGATCTCTCTCCAGAGTCAGATGCGCATGGCCTTTGGTGGAGAGACTAGAGACGTGGCTCTGCCCGCAGGGCGTTCCAGGCAGGCTCAGAACAGAGGCACGCTGCTGGGCGAGATCACACTGGGTGCAGGGGAAGGACACAGTGAGGCTGGCGGAGCTTGGTCTGGGTTTGTTCCATTGTACAGATCATTGGGAAGGCTGGCAGAGGGAGGGAGTCAGTCATTGGTGGCTGGATGCAGGATCAAGGAGGAGATACCTAGAGAGGGGGCTGCAGGGAGGGGCACTGGCGGAGCACAGGGACAGGAGGGGAGATGTAGGTGGGGTAGAGCTCAGCAGTATGTGAGCCAGTGGAGGGAACTGGGTCATGGCAGAGGAAGGGGGATATGCCTTCAGTCCATCCAGAATAGCACAGCTGGTGGCTTACAAGAATAGGACATCACAGGAGTCTAGGCAGCAGATTACCAGGGCCAAGGAAGCTACCCACCTGGATGGGGAAATTGAGGCAAGAGACGAAGCCAGGTAGTACAGTGAGTCTACAGGCGAGCCCCAGCTTCAGCTCCTCTCCTCCTGTTGCTCAAAGAATCTCCCAATGGATCATAGCCAAGCCCCCAGCGTCAGCCGAGGGTGCCCTAGCAGGGGCAGATAGCTGGATGTGGAGAAACCTGCTCCCTCCCCTGCCACCACACAAACCCCACCAAACTGCTGAGCTTACCACGTGATGGGGACAGCCGCCTCGTGCTCCGGGCCCATGGGGACGCGGCTCTGCAGGTAGTGAAGCTGGCCGAAGTACTTCCGCAGGATGCTGCAGCCCTCGAAGTCCCTGGGCACGCTCACGGCGTTCTGGAGGAGGAGAGAGGAAGGAGCAGCGCTTCAAGGCAACAGGCAGTGCCACGCTTACAGACAGAGGCCTGGGCTGTATTTGGCTGGCAGCAAAATCCACTTACCTGATCATGGGCAGGAGATCACCCTGAAATAACTCCTCAGAGGGACTTTCCGGGGCCCAGTCACAGAAGCCAGGGTATTAGCCACTCTCAGAGAGAGTCCTCTGGGTTGGGCTGGAGTGGGGAGCTGCTGTAGACTCCCCACTCCTTTCACACACATGGGGCAGGCAGTTTGCCAATCCAGTGGTACAACTGCAACAAAGTGCTTCTTACGCGAGGCTCGGGAGAGGCCTCGGGCCTCTCAGTTCCGGAGCTGAAGGCAGCCAAGTATGTCACAAACTCAGGAGGCACCCACCGCCCCACAACGCCTTCAGCCCAAGGCTTTCAAAGTACTTTGCTCCATTAAACGCCAGGTGTCAGGCTGACATCCGTCCTGGGCATACTGGGTGAAACGATCACTAAAAACAAACCACCTGGCCGTTCATGACTGAGGAGGACTAACCAGCACCGATTCTGCAAAGGAAAACGGACTTGCTGATCTCCTGGAATTTTCTGAGCACGTCAGGAAAGGGCGGGAGACAGGAGAACCAGCGATGATATGCTTAGACAGCCAAAAGGCCTCTGACGAGGTCCCACACAAAAGGCTGTCAAAGACGCTAAGTCATCATGGGGAAGAGGCAAAGTGTTATCATGGACCAGAAATGGGCGGAGACAGGAAAAGTAGGATTCAATGGTCAATTTCAGCACAGCGAACGGTTAACAGCAAGCGCTGCAGGTTCCGCACGAAGTCCCGTGTTGTCTAATGGATTAATTCGTGATCTGGAAGGGGGGGTTGGGGGGCGCATGAGTTGAGAGTTACAAAGCTGACAAATGACAGTCAGGTTAGTGGGAACCAGGGAGGGCTGCAAGGAGCTTCGGAGAGAGCTAACGGAGCTGGGTCACTCGCTACATATGGCCAGCTGGATCACTTAGTGCTCTCAGCATTAACAGCAGAATTCTGGAAGGGGTTTTAAAAACCAGGCTTCAGGGCTTAAGCCGATCTCTGTCAGAGATCAGGAGACCAGACAACCCACAGTAAGCAGGTGTGGGATCCTTCCACCAACACAGCTAGTGCTGGCTCCTGCCAGAGAGGCGCTAGCGGACTAGACGGACTGTGGGTCTGATCCAGCCTGGCCGCTCCTATGTTCCTGTGTCACGGGAGGTAAGGTGATGAACTGCGTTTTACAGATTAGGAAGAAACAGATGTGAAGGGACTTTCCTAAGATCACACAGAGCTCTGGATTGCACGTGTCCCAGCTCCAACCACTAGGCCACACTCCCTCAGGAGCGGTTTTGTCACGGATCTTTTACTATAGAATTTTAGAGACAGTGCGGTGTAGTGGACAGAGCACTGGACTGGGACTCAGGAAAGCTGGGGGCTCTTCCTGGCTCTGCCACTGACCTGCTGGGTGACCACAGGCAAGTCACTTTCCCCCTTTGTGCCTCTGTGACCCCTTCCACCCTCTCAGTCTGATCCATTTCGGCTGCCAGCCCTTCAGGGCAGGGACCATCTCTCTCTGAACAGTGCCCAGAACAGTGGGACTCCGATCTCAGCTGAGCCTCAAAGCACCACTGGAGCACAAATGAATGAGAGATTCCCCTCCCAGTAAGGGAGTGACTTTGGGAAAGCAGAGACCCTGTCCTGGGAGCTGGGCAGGAAAAGCGTAACTTTTTCCAGCAGAGAGGAATGTGCTCACTCATCACTCCCCGGTGGAGTGCCGAAGCAATCACTCAACAGCGTCAGAGCTCAGCCACAGCCTTGTGGGAAACGGCTGGCACTCTCTCCTTCGCAGCATGGCCACAAGAACGGAAGAGAGCAAACCTCTCCCAGTGAGTGCTAACTGCAGTGCTCCATCATCTGGGCAGCCAGGTGCTAGGATCCAGTGGTGCTGCACCTTAGTGACACGCTTGGCTTGGCCTGGCTGGATGCAGAAGTTTATTTCTGCGCCAGGCCAAGCTGCTCCTTAATACCCCCCCATAAGCAGGCCCCACCTCAGGGCTCCGCGCACACAGAACAGGAGAAAGCCAATGGCACAACCCTGACGTTTCTCCCTCTGGGTTTTCAGGCTGGTCATTATGGCTCAGGTAACTCCGGTCACCCCGGCTGGGGTCACCACACTGCTGCTGCGGAAAGCGGGCACGACGGCAGTGCTGCGTGGTTACGCTGAAAGGTGCCTTGCAACGAGAGTCTCCGTTTATCCACGGCAACGAGTGGGTCGCCTCCCCTGCGCTGCCTCCCTACGGGGCAGTTGGGTTTCCATGGCCCATTCAGCCCCGGGCCCGTCTGCGGGAAGCGCCGCTGATCACACAGACACTTACCAGCTGGGGGCAATGTCACTTCGCCACGTGATGGAGAAGACTGGCTGGGAGCTGACCTGGCCCTCGAGATGGGAACGCCCTATTACCAATCCCCCGGGCCAGACAGCCCGCTCCGGCGTTGGCTGCCTGCGTTTCAGGCTCAGCTGAAGCAGGTGCACGAGCTGCAGTGTCCGGCTTGGCTGGAAACGCCCCCCCGCCCCAGGGTCCTTCTCCCGCTGATGAGCTCAGCTGTTGTGAGTGGCGCTGACCTTCCCGTCTCTGGGAACTCGCGTCAGCCACCCACAACAGCTCAGCTCGGGGATTCACATCACAGCCACCACGGCAGGCAGCTCCTTCCCCTAGGTCCCTGGTTCGACTCCAGAGGGGGCCAGCAGTGACCACTGTTGGCTGTGCCGGGCGGCCCTGCAAACCCCAGGGCCACAGAGGGTGGGAGCATCTCTACTCTGCCAGCCAGGAGCCCTGCCCAGCCCTCCTGTTCCCACCATCATTTACCTGCCTCTCCTTCAGCCCTGCCTACGATGTGCCTGACAGGGGCATCATGAGGGTGGGGGCACGGAGGGGCCTTGTTGCAATTCCCCACTGCAGGGGTAGCCCCCCCCCCACTGCCCCTCCCCCCGAGATCTCCTCTATAAGGCCACTTGCCCTTGCAGAAGGAACCAGCCTCCCTGCCCCCACTAAGGAACCTCCTCTCCCCCCAATCTCGTGAGACCCCTAGCGCTGATCTTTGTGCTGCCAGGGCCCAACCACAGTAACTGCAGGGGCTGTCGAAGGAGCTGCGGTGTAAGTAGCTCTAGGGGGGCCTCAAACGCCTTCCCCACCGGAGGGGTCCAGGGCTGGGGCTCCCTCACCTGTATTCAGTTCACACTGTGCCTGGGTCCCCTCCCAGCAAGGCAGTGGAGGTTTCACATACAGAAAGCTTCCCCTGGAGGGTCCCGGGTGGGGGAGCAGATACCAGCACACACACAAGAGAACCAGGGGCTCTATCTCGTGGACTGTGGCCAGGAGATCAGGAGTTCCTGGCTCAGCCACTGGCCTGCCCTTGGGCAAGTCACTTTCCCTGCCAACCTTTGTCAGCCCCAGCTTGACGGTGCGCTCTGGGCAGGGACTGTCTCCCCATGTGACTGCCCCGCCTCGCAGCGCCGTTACACAGCGCCAGGGCACACTTACCTGCCGGAGCAGTTCAAGTTTCTTCAGCTCTTCATTGTAGCTCTCGGGATTCTCGCCATAGTTCTTCAGAACAAACTGGAGGGAGAAAAAACTAATCAGAGCTTGTGTCTAGGACTGGTGCGTAGAGGAGAAATCAAACACCACTCCCCGGAGCAGAGCTGCCCGGGCATTGCTGGAGAAGCCAGGCAGCAAGAGGGGCGGCAGAAGCCCCAAGAAAGAGCTCTGCACGAAGGGTGGCAGGGACACTCGGGGTTGGGCTTTCGGGGTGTTGCACAGGCCAGGCTCTTTCTGTCTTTGCTGAGGGAGAGGAGCTCAGAGCAGGAGAATGAAAGCCCCCCTGCAAGGCCAGGAACGTGTCACCAGTTCCCTGTGCTGCCCCCACACAGCCAGTCAGCCAACAGCACATGGCAGCCACCTCCACTTTGAAGGAGCCCATGTATTTCCTCAGACAGCAGGTGCCCCTATTTCCCCGCAGTCTACAAGCCAGAGCCAGGCCTTTTGCAGAAGGAGCTCCGCAGCCTGAGCTCAGCTGGCCACCCCCAGCCCTGGTCAGACACCCCTCAGCCCACAGAAGTCAATGGAATTTCGGACCCAGCCTGCAGACTTGTTCCCTCCTGTGGCAAAGGCTTAACAGGGACCATGGCTGATCTTTGACTTAAGCAGCCATATTCAGCATGAGCAGCCAAGAAGAGCATGCTGCCAACGTGAATCTGCAGCAATCGGCCACCACTGCCCAGGTGACAGGCCTGCTCAAGCAGCAACACATGCCGCATCTTCACTTGTCCAGCAAGGGGCTGGACAGGGGAAAGGTTTCGGCACAGCTTCTTGTCCAGTGGGCTGCCAACCTTTCATCGCACAGATTTGCCATGGCTACTGGAAGCTGCACGCTTGAGCCAGGCTCCCAGATACCCTGTTAAGTGTCCTGTATGTAAGACAGGCCCACATGTAACTATCAACCTTTGCATGCTCCTCCAGCTCCCTTCTACGACTCAGCTTTCCCGTCACATTCCCCTTCTCCCCTCCCCACCATGGTAGAGCCTCTGGAGGCATCAGTCTAGGTCAGATGGCAAGATCCTCAGGGCTGGGACCTTGTCTCCGATGTGCCTGTAAAGTACCATGCACTGTGCAAATCAAAACCGATCCTGGCTCTCTTCTCCACGGGGCCCAGTAAAGCATCCCCACCGCCCATGTCTGATGGCACTCATTCTCTGATTTCCCCCTGAGCAGCCAGGCTTGGATTGTTCCTTCCTGTGCAGCCTCCAGTGCTTTACCCAGCCCAAGCTTAAATAACGAATGCCTTTCCTCAGCTTTCAGCCCCAACACCGCTCAGCTCTGAAATGCAGCTACCTCTGGGATGAAACCCAGCAGCTGTTTACCAGCACACAGCAACATGAGAATCCAGATTCAAAGAGAATCTGCAGGGAAGATTCGGGAGACAAAGGTTGTCAAGGTTCCTTCCCCACTCTGAGGTACAGATGTGGGGACTTGCATGAAAGACCCTCTAAGCTTATTCTTACCATCTTAGGTTAAAAACTTCCCCAAAGTACAAACTTTGCCTTGTCCTTGAACCACATGCTGCCACCACCAAGCGTGTTAACAAAGAACAGGGAAAGAGCCCACTTGGAGACGTCTTCCCCCAAAATATCCCCCCAAGCCCTACACCTCCTTTCCTGGGGAAGGCTTGAGAAAAATCCTCACCAATTTGTACAGATGAACATAGACCCAAACCCTTGGATCTTAAGAACAATGAAAAATCAATCAGGTTCTTATAAGGAGAATTTTAATTAAAGAAAAGGTAAAAGAATCACCTCCGTAAAATCAGGATAGTAAATATCTTACAGGGTAAACATTCAAAACAGAGAATCCCTCTAGGCAAAACCTTATGTTACAAAAAGACACAAAAGTAGGAATATACATTCCATTCAACACAGCTTATTTTACCAACCATTAAACAGATGGAAATCGAACGCATTTCTAGTTAGATTACTTACTAACTGACTGAAGTTCTGAGACTGCATTCCTGATCTATTCCCGGCAAAAGCATCACACAGACAGACAGACCGACCCTTTGCTTCCCCCCCCTTCCAGCTTTGAAAGTATCTTGTCTCCTCATTGGTCATTTTGGTCAGGTGTCAGTGAGGTTATCTTAGCTTCTTAACACTTTACAGGTGAAAGGGTTTTGCCTCTGGCTAGGAGGGATTTTATAGCACTGTATACAGACAGGTGGTTACCCTTCCCTTTATTTTTATGACAAAGGTAGTCCTCAGGACTGAAATCCATCCAAAACACTGGAGGTAATACAGCCCCTGGGATCTCGAGGGACCACACGAGGCCAGCACGATGGTTCTGCGTCTGACGGGAAAGATGGTGCCTCCTGCAGCACAGTGCCCCCACGACCCCGCCGAGGTGCGGAAGCGGTCCTGACTCGAGAGTGAGGAGAGCCATCGAGGCATCGCCCGTAGAACCTTGGAGATTCCCCCCCGACCCTCTCCAACCTCACTTAGCTTGTCTGCGCAGCGCCACGTGGGTCCTGGGCACTGCAGGTGACTTCTCCACGAGAGATGCCTGCAGCGGGTAACCGATCAGCTGTTCACTGTGCAGAGCGCCTGAGGGATCGTCCATTTCTTGGGTGCCCTCAGGTGCTGGACGCGGCATGCTCCCATTAGGGGCGTGCATTGCACTCCCGCAGCTGGAGCAGCTGCTTAAGGACCAGCGTGGCTCACGCACAGGACGGGGCTGGCCGTCCGGGCCCCACAGAACGTAGCGATGCTGACTGCGTCACGCAGACTGTGACTAGAGCAGCGAGCTAGACCCTTCGGAGCTACGAGCACACAGCTGCCTGGCCTGGGTAGAGCGAGGACTCCACTGGAGTCCAGTCTAGTGCCCAGCATAGGGGACTAGAAGCCAGGGCACAGGGAGTCTAATTTGGGGCTCTGGCACTGACGTGTCATGGGGCTTTGGGCAAGCCAGTCCCCTGTTACATAGGGAGGCTCAGCACGCAGAGGGGGTAGCAGGGTCGTGGTGCTTAATGAAGGCTCTGAGCTCTCAGAGATCCCCAGCCAGTGCTACAGGAGGGCAAAGGATTGTGAGAGTAACGCTCAAGGGAAGAGGACCCAGCCATGCCCAGCTGGCAGCAAACCAGCTGGAGAAAGACTGTCCTTGTCCAGTGTTAGAGAGACTGAGGCTGGTGATTGCAGACACGTACTACCCTTGACTGAAGGGACATAGCTCCACACTGGCAAGAAATCAAGCTGCCTGCTGTGGTTTGGGGGAAGGGACTGACACCAGCTAGAGATCTGTGGGGGTCCAACTGTCTTGGCAAACCTAGGGTCCGAATGAATAACACACAGGGGCACTAACTGAGAGAGGTCAATAGCTCTCTGGAGGGGAACTGAAGATTCGGCAGCCTTCCCAGACTCTGGAGGGGAGAAAGGATTTCTGAGAGAGACAGAACAGCCTGAAAAACCAGCGTGGAACACAATGTACCTGGCAATACCCTGCACACTTACCCAGTCCCTAGGATCCCAGAGGGCTTTCACAAACACCTAAGCTGCACACCCTCCCAGGGTGGGCAAGTCAATCACATTGCACAGACCCAAAGGATGAGCAGCTTGCCCCAAAGCCACACAACAGAGGCAGGAATAGACAGCAGGAGTCCAATGCCCAGTGGCCCTACTATAACCATTATATTACACTGCTTCCTGTGACATCTGGTGGGATGAGTCACAGCAAAGGCTCCTAAGTATGTGCCACAAGGTCAGCAGGATGAAGAGGAAAGCAACTAACCCCAGACTGCAGGCCGTCCCCACCCACGGGCAGAGCAGAGTTTATGGGTAGATCTAGTCAGAGTGAGAGAAACCTGTCCTCTAGGTCACTGCGTTCAAATCTAGCCCAGCCCAGCCAAGCCATGACTCACAGCTATCATTATCCCCAACTGCTCACTGACAGGGATGTCATGAGTTGGTGGCTTCAGTTCTTTTCTTAAGGGTGGATAAAAACAAAACAATTTATTTGAAAACAAAATTTTTAAATATGGGATTTTGATTTAAATTGGATATTTTGATTTTGTTATTTAAATTATCATTCATTTTTCTTTTTAAAGACAGGTTTCAGAGTAACAGCCGTGTTAGTCTGTATTCGCAAAAAGAAAAGGAGTACTTGTGGCACCTTAGAGACTAACCAATTTATTTGAGCATGAGCTTTCGTGAGCTACAGCTCACTTCATCAGATGCATACCGTGGAAACTGCAGCAGACTTTATATATACACAGAGAATATGAAACAATACCTCCTCCCACCCCACTGTCCTGCTGGTAATAGCTTATCTAAAGTGATCAACAGGTGGGCCATTTCCAGCACAAATCCAGGTTTTCTCACCCTCCACCCCCCCACACACACACAAATTCACTCTCCTGCTGGTGCTAGCCCATCCAAAGTGACAACTCTTTACATAATCAAGTCGGGCTATTTCCTGCACAAATCCAGGTTTTCTCACATCCCCCCCACCCCCATACACACACAAACTCACTCTCCTGCTGGTAATAGCTCATCTAAACTGACCACTCTCCAAGTTTAAATCCAAGTTAAACCAGAACATCTGGGGGGGGGGGGTAGGAAAAATCAAGAGGAAACAGGCTACCCTGCATAATGACTTAGCCACTCCCAGTCTCTATTTAAGCCTAAATTAATAGTATCCAATTTGCAAATGAATTCCAATTCAGCAGTTTCTCGCTGGAGTCTGGATTTGAAGTTTTTTTGTTTTAAGATAGCGACCTTCATGTCTGTGATTGCGTGACCAGAGAGATTGAAGTGTTCTCCGACTGGTTTATGAATGTTATAATTCTTGACATCTGATTTGTGTCCATTTATTCTTTTACGTAGAGACTGTCCAGTTTGACCAATGTACATGGCAGAGGGGCATTGCTGGCACATGATGGCATATATCACATTGGTGGATGTGCAGGTGAACGAGCCTCTGATAGTGTGGCTGATGTTATTAGGCCCTGTGATGGTGTCCCCTGAATAGATATGTGGGCACAATTGGCAACGGGCTTTGTTGCAAGGATAAGTTCCTGG